TCATGTTCCCTTAACTTTAGATCCGCATGTGCAGCCTCACCCCAATCCATTTCTAGCAACACATCAAAGGGCAAGTTATCCTCCACCAAGAAGGTCAGAGAGTGGAGAACGCGTTCCACCTTCCCCTCTGCCTCTAGCCGAAAGTATACATGTACTCCCTCGATGTATCGATCCATGACAGTTTCACTACTATTCGCCAGCTTACTTACAATGGGCTCATCTAACTTCTTAACTTTAAGCCCAAGACGCAGTTTCTGCAAACCTCTTTTACTAATATAACTGCGTGTAGACCCGCTGTCTATCATACCTCCTACTCTAACTCGATTTATTTCTAGATCCGCAATTATTAGTTGTCCTTTCTTTTTACGCATTTCAGTCGGCTTGGCGACGAGCGGCCAACTCATCACCCACGCCAGCGAGGGATCCATCTAGAGAGATGCATGCGTTTGCCACCTCTGGACAGTGCACTAGATGGGGACTTCCTTCCTCTTCAGTTTCTGCCATTGGGGCCTTCGAATGGAAGGATTCTGATTTTTCAACATTCGAAGCCCCGGTAGAGGCAACTGACACCTCTACTAGCTGTTCCCTTTTGCCCCCCTATAGTCAAGACAATAGGGGACAATGTGGTCGGGGTCCCCACATTTGAGGCATTGGTCGGCTTTCTTTCTTTCAGCCCATACCTTTTCTGTTATTCCCAACTCTTTCCAAGGCTCCCCTTCGGGTAGGCCTGGATGGGTGGGTATGGCTTATCCCACTTGTTGTACCATGAGCCTCTTCCTCTACCCCAGATGGAGTAAGAACCACGGCCACCGTATGAGGGACCATTTCCCCTTCCTCCCACGTAGTGGCTTCCTTCACCACCACCCCTCTGGGTGCCGAATCCTCGTCCACCACGGCCGCGGCCTCTTCCTCGGCCTCGCCCTCTTCCTTGACGCCCTCCCCCGCGGGCTGCAACAGCCGCGTAACTCCCCTCCTGAGCTACCGGTCTGTTGGGTTCATCGAGACCATAGTCAACCTGATCCCAGGAGATGGTCTCGGCGCCTACTTCTTCAAAGGTTAGAAGGAGACTGTCTTTCCCAGGTATAGACCCTGAGATGGTGCGGTTTTGCCATCTTTTACCTGCTTGCAGATCCTTCCAGTAATGGCAATAATTTGCTTCAGCGAGGAAGCCGGCATGATCTATGGCGATCTTGCCGAACTTCTCATATGTCATCCCCTCTTCCTTGGTACGGGGATAGAGTTGTGTTCTTAGAGGATCCGGGAGTGCTCATGCAAAACTGTTCAGAATTTGAGCTGGCGTCAACCCGTGATCAGGGCATTGCAATAGTTCATCCATAGTTGCCTTTAGTGCAGAGGTACTCTTCCATTTCCTGTAAGGAAGGCTGAGGATCAACATTTTTGTACGTCTTGCCAAGTTTTTGTCCTCAAATCTTTCTCTTATTAACTTAAGGAAATCCTCGATTCGCGTTTGCTGCGAATATTCTACCATAGAGTTGCATCCTTCTGCAGCGAGATGGCGAAGCTCATGGCGTCGCCTCCCATGCACGAGGTTGCCATCAATACCCTGTCCCAGTATGAAATTCGCTGTCCATACACATAAGTTTCAATTGCCTCCGCCCAGTGCAACACACTCTCTTCTTTCTTTCCATTGTAGGTCCATGGCAGTTTAAGCTTAATCTTGTTAGTCTGTCCGGGTTCCTGGGAAGGTTGACCCTTTGAATCCTCAATCTTTTTTTTTCCTTTCTTGTCATCATCGCCGTCGCCATCTCCATCTCCTCCGTCGCCTCCAGCTCCCTTTACAATATTCTCTACGACCTCCGGGGTGAAGACTTTATTAATATGTTCGTCCAAAGCCTGGATGTAAGTTTGCACATGTTGGTCAACGTCCTTTGCTGACTTTTCTACGAAGTTATTCCAGACATTCTCAAATTCAACCCGATGTGTTTCTACACGTTGCAAGGTCTGCCGCATTAAGTCCATGTTTTGCCTCGTGTTGAGGACGGCCTCCCTGAGGAGTGCAAGCTGTGCTTCAGTTGCAGAGGGGTTTTCCTTTTGCGCTTCTAGAGCTTTCTGCAATTTATCCCCTTCTGCCTGCAATCTTTTCTTTTCTTCCACCTCTTACCGGCTAGCGGCCAACAGCCTGCGATTTAGCTCAGCCCGTTTCTCCTCCAACATCAAGTTTCATTCAACGGTGTCTTTAATAGTGGCCAACTTAACATGAACCTATCCCGTTCTTCATCAGATTTTTTTAACGGCTCGCTGGAGTAGTAGTACTGGCTACCCCAGTTCAACGGTTCAATGGGAAGGCGGGTCGTGGTACTGCTTTCCGATATGTCTTGGCGACGACGTCTTTCCAACACTTCTCCTTCTTCTTGTTGTTGTTCTTCTTCTTCTTCTATACTTCTCAATTCTTCTTCTAACTCCCTGTCCATTTTCTCTTTCATTTTTTTTCTTGCTTCTTCTTGTTTCTGTTTTTTCTTTGCTTCCTTTTCTTTTTTCTTTTCTGCTAGCCTGCGGTCAATTTCGGCTTGCTCCGCAGGTGTGGGGCCAGACTTCACTGTCCCTGACCGCATCAGCGTGCGGGACGTGCACACGCGTCCGAACCCCAGTGGGAACATCAGCCTGAACAGGGGCCCCAATAATACAGAAAGGGCCAACTGGCCCTGGATGGGATAGTCATCCATGATGACTGCCGGCACAGGAGATCCTCCGCCGGGTCACCAAGGTACTATCCCACTTACAGACTTGGTCTTGACTTGCGGTAATGGAGTACTTATACCTTCCCTTTCCCCTTTTTTTTTTGTTTAACGGTCGAAGGTGCTGCGTACAATCAACAATAGATCAAACTACAATGAACTTGAATATGTCTATTTATTTATTTTTTTGATGTGCTGTCTGGCCTCCTGGATCGAACGTTTGGTAATGTGTTCCTGTTGTCTTACTTTCTCTTTTTTTTTTTTGTACTAACTTGGCTGGTTGCTTGGTGCAGATATGGAGTACAGCGCAGATTCAGATGGTTCACTTATCCAACCAGGCAGAGATACTTCGTATACCCTGTTCTTTCTTTCGGGCTTAACAGGCCCGGGAGATACTCAATATCATCCTTATACTGCCTGGTACATGCTATCTGATGTGGCACATTGCCACTCCCCACATCGATCCTTGGTTCTTGATGACGATACCCAGCCTGCCTATTARGAGGGATAGGARAGAGACCTACTCCTATTCGCMGAATGCTGGACCACCTMCTTTAGTGAGACCAGTCCCTGACACATCACCCTTGGGTCATCAGACTCAGACTCTGACGGCTCAGACCTGACAGCTATGACACCCCAGATCCAGACTTCGATTCCTGACCAGATCAGCAGCAGTCGCCTTCAGAGGGTCAGAGGGAGAGAAGGTAGGGGACACACACATGCATGCAGGTTCAGGGAAAAGGAGGTGCTTCTCTCTTCTTGAAGATACCGCCGATGATGCTCCACGACGCTCCGCACGCTCCAGGTAAGTAACTTCGTCACTTCTTCTTCGACCTGCTTCCCCACTATCCAACACCTCTTGTCTTCTCCTCCTCCCTCTTCCCTATTCCTCCATCACCACTTCTTCTCACCGCCCTCGATCAGACCAGCGCTATGAGTGTAGCGAGCATCTGCTCTGATACCAAATTTGCATGGGTCCTGGGGACCATCTCACGCAGATGTGTACATGTCATGCATCATCTTCACACGCAGTGATCAATAGTCTCAACCATAGACAAAGGCAGAGAAGAAGAGGACAGAGTTTCACAGCTTATATTATCAGAAATATGATTACAAAGTGTTTCAAAGTTCCCCTGAGTCCAGCGCTCATCAGCGCAACACAAATCTCTGTTCAACTCATCAATATGATTTCCAAGGCATCAGCGCTACCCCTGCAGATTGTCTCCCAGTCATCAATATGGTCACAACTCGCGCCACCTCTGCAGTTCACAACCAACTCAGGTAAGTGTCTCCCATAGCCAAACCTTGAATGAACACTCTATATCTCAGTCCCTTCCTCTTACGATGCATACACATTCTCTACTCATGAGGATCTACTCTGAATACTACTCATAGCTACACATTAACCCTCTACTACTAATGCTAACTCGCTGGGCAGCTATGGCTGCGTCATGTCCAGCGTACAGTCTTCTTCCTCCCTTCAGCGCATCTTCCTCCCTTCAGCGCATCTTCATCCTCCAGCGCTGCTCCTCCTGACTCAACGCACAAGTGCACCAGCACTTCCACGCAATGATAGCCAGTGGAGATCTGGCGAGGAATGAGGCAGGCAGCTTTCTTTATAGTGCTGACTAMTCCTCGCTGGGTCTGCATTGGCTCAATTCGGCCTTCCCTTAGTCCMAGACCCTGCATTGCATGTGTCCCARTAGAGTCCCAATGAAGTTCAACTGCTGCTGAGGCCTCTCRGCCTGTATTTGGACTTGAAAGTCTGGATCTGGACTGACCCCTTGACTTAGACCAAAACTGGGACTGTKCCTATTGACTTTACCTTCGGACAGGCACAACTCTCAACGAACARACACATTTACTGCTTGAACAGACACTTTCCTTTGCACGAACAGGTACACTGCCTGCACGTACAGACACACTCTTATCCGAAYAGACATGACATACACAKCTCCTGGTGAACARGTAAGTCCTTTGACAATGCCCTTTGCCTTRGTTTTAGATGTGCCTGTTGGTAGAGAACTTAACCTTTGACCTGCTTTCACGTTTCTGAGCCCTGGCGAGATACCTTTTCACAATGCTTTACTTTTTCAAGGCCCGTGCTGCTTTATTTTTACAAGGCCTGAGGCCTAGATCGGGTAAAGGCCCTTTTACAACATTCCCTCCACTTGTAAAGAATATCATCCGTGGTTCCACAGAACCACCACATTTATTATGGGTAAAATGGATATTAAACCTCGTCGACAGGGGAAACCAAGCATCCATAATACCATCAAGGAACAATCAGACACCAAGCTTGCTCACTTCCTTCATGTTTTATCCCGTTTCCATCTAGTTGCTGAGGACACCACATGATCCACACTAGAATGCACTGTAGTGCTTGAGAAGCTGAGTCTCAAAATTCCGGGCACTGAAACCGCCATTTACATTAAGTAGGCCGTATCCGTACCTGCACAAGCATAGAAGAGAAGAATCATCCATGGTCTCACAGCCACCGCATTCCAGGTACACCTACCCCTCAGACGCAGTTCAATGTTACATACATACATACTGGTACCTCATGCTAAAGCACATCCTCTTTCTATACTTCGGGATTCTTCAAGGTGCCATGGGTCGATGCCTGGAACATTCTGTAGTCTTTGAGCTTACGATCACCAGCTCTAAACCGGGTTTCATTAAAAATCATTTACGGTTGCCTGAGCACCGTATTACCCAGCCATCCCCAGCCCTAAACGCAGCAAGGAGTCATGCATCCCAGGTCAATGATGGAAGGCACCGTATTATCCATCCATTTCGAGGTGTTTGTCTCCAGTCTTGTGCGGACTTCCTTCTTGACCCCTGACAGAAGAGGGGAATCATCCACGGTCCCACCACCACCACATTCCAGGTACACTGACCGACCTCGCACATGCAGGTCAATGTCACATACGTACGTGTTTGTACACCATGCTAAAGGATGTTGTTTTCCCTCATTTTGGGATCACTTAAGGCAGCGTTGGTCCATGCCTGGAACATTCCATAGTCCTTGAGGAGCTTAAACTTGCCATCACCAGCCCTAAATATCCCATCTACAGCTGCCTGAGCTCCTGCTCGCATGGAGTTGTGCACTTCAACCATGAAAAGCGCCGTATTATTCATCCATTTCAAGGAGTTTGTCTCTGACCTTGTGAACAATTCCTTCTCCGACCCTTCTATGTCAATCTTTGTGAAGTCGAACTTTTTCAAGTTAAACAGCTTTAACAGCAACTCTATGGTCAGTCCCGTCATAATGAACTCCTCCTCCACCTCACCCCACTTTTCTACCTCCTCCACTTGGAAGCCCCACTCTCTGTGCCATTTATGTCCTGTGGTACAATTGACTAGCTTCAGCTGTCTGATGCTCTTCCAAAGTGCTGCCCGTAATGGAATCACATTATGCAAGCCTTTCACATTCAGCAACAAAGTTTCGTAGTTCTTCATGCTTGGCTCCAAGGAAATGATCTTGGCATCCGGGAACCTAAATATAGTTGCATACAATGCACAGCCGCACCACACAATGAGACACTTATTGAATTGTATTCCTCCTGAAAGGAACTTTCCCATGAGCAACTCTATTCAGCATGCACAAGTACACAAAACCGAGTGCAGATACACACCTCCCATAAGACATTAATTGAATTGTATTCCTCCTGAAATCACACTGATACAAGAACACACACAACACCAAATTCTCACCTCCATCAAATCAAGACAACAAGAGCTTAGCAGTTTCTGACTTCGGTATAACTGCCTATGCTACTGCCTAGCCTCGGCTATCTGACTTATACACCATGCCGACGAAGACTGTTTCACTGCTGCCGACAACCGCATGAAGAGACTGGCCCCCCTGGAGCTCTGCCTGCCAACCACCACGTAAGTATCCACCAACCTTCTCCCATGGCCTTCCTCACTGTCCCACAGACCACCTTTGTTGGCGCTGGAGACTGCACAATCGTCTTCCTCCTTTTTTATCATGCGCAGCCTAACTGTAGCAGCCTGCCAATGACCTGCCATTTGAATGTCAACCTACCACCCTTATATTGCATATACCGTGCAGCCTACGGGCATTTCACTACCTGCAAGAGGATAATAAGATAAAAAATGCCCATACTGAACACTAGGAGAATAATATCATAGAAGGGCGTGTGCATCACCAGGTGGAAGAATCCTGCCGAGAACATAGCATTTTCCATGACGTCATCAGATGCCTCACTGCACAGGATAGAAAGATGTGTGAGGACAGGTGGTTGAGGAGTTCAGGATAGAAAGATGTTTGAGGGTTTGCTGCTCTTGAGTAACAATGGGTGGAGAGACTCTTGTGTTCCCAATCACAAATCTTTCTGGAGCTATGGGGCTAAGGGGCACAAAGCTCCAGGACACTTGGGGCTCAAAAAGACAATTTTATGTTGAAGGTTGCTAGGTTTGTCAAAGAGACAAACCGCGCAACACAGGCAACTGCAGGCTTAATTAAGCCTCTTCCTATTCCTGAAGGACATGGCCAGTCTCCGGCCATGGACTTCATGGAATCCCTGGTGACCAGCAGGAAACGAAACAAGCAGATTTTCATATTCTAAGTTTGCGCGTTTTATAACTCTACCGGCTACTGCATTACTGATACCTGAATTCACTAATCATTGGATTAAAGAATTTGGATTATCCAAAACTATTTCAAGTACAGATGTATGGTTCACTAGCGAACTGTGGCAGGACCTAGCTAAAAAATTGGGTTCAGAACTGAAGTTGACCTCAGGAAATTACGCTAAGGCGAACAGCTAAACTGAGCACACGAACAAACAGGTGCAGTAGCTTCTCAGGCATTACTTTACTCCCAAACCACTTGATTGCAATGACTGGGGCACCGAACTGCCTTAAATAGCTGGGCTATACACTCAGCAACTGGATGCTCGACTAGCCAACTACATTTGAGATGCAAACCTGGCTCCATGGGATTTCCTGTCCCCTGATCCGAAACAGCACACTGCCCTTCGAGCTATTTAATACAGTCCTGGGTGTGAATGGATGCTACAGTAGAACAGCTACAGAACTCTCAAAGGCCATGATTCAATCAGAAAATTAGCATAGACAGGTGTGACATTCCAGTTAGGTGAAAGAGTGTGGGTTAAGTCATCTGAGTTGATGCCAGAGCAGCACAACATTTTGGACCATGGACTAAAATAGACATTGTACAGGATGATGCTGATGGCCCATCATATGTAATTGATGTGCCTCCCCATTTCCGCACTTACCTCTGTTTCACGCATCCAAGCTCTTGCTTTAACCAATCAGGTTCCCTTTCGGCGATCCGTGCTGCCCCCTGTACGATGGTATTGACATTGACCGTATTACTGACGACAACATACTACCTGTTCAAAAGGCATCGGGGACAGGAAGACCATCTAAGCATCAGATGCCATACAGAGTGGCATTCAGGGGACATCTAGAACCAAGTGACGATCAGTGATTACAAAGACAAACTTGTGAAGTCTGCACCTCAAGTGGTTTTTCCATATGAGAGGGCTCCACAAGGGAAGCAACGACAATAATTAAGGGTTCTCATAGGGCTTGCGAGCCTCAGGGGGTGGCATGTCAGACCTCAGGCCTTGGCGTTCCCTAAATGACCACCTCTGCCTCAGGGGGCAGCATGTAAGACCTCAGGCCTTGGCGTGCCCTAAATGACCGCCTCTGAAAACAAAAGAAAAGGCCGCCCTTAGTGCAGGAGCATGAGAACATGGAGGCTGGCCCCAAGTGAAGGCCGGGCCAAGGTAATAATGCACCTGAGACAGTGCCAGCCCCTGTAACTAACCAGTAGTCCAGCCTCCAGTTAGTTACAGGTGCTGGGACCCGCTCTCAGACCAGTGGGCAGTATTCACTGCTTACTGGGACCCAATCCACGGCCTCCAAAAGCAACAAAGGAGGGTGGCAGCTGTTCAGAACACATTCACGGATTGGCAGCATGCATCAGCACTGGAGCAGCGCATTGAGCCCAGGTAGTGCCTGGTGTCAGAGGGCCCAGCAGTCTGCCCCTCCGTGGTATGTCAAATCGGTCACATCCCACTGACTTCAGCTTCAGTTCCTTGGGGCGAACTTACACCACTGAGGCTTTGTCTAGCCCAGTGCACAGCCTCCCGCCGTCGGATGGAGTGGACCTGGCTCCAGTTACCTTGTTTTAGGCCGGTGGAGCCATAGTGCAAGGAATATGAGCGAGAGCAATAGACAGAAATCCAAATTGCAAAATCATGCTGTGGTCCAGATAGCCATGTACCAAGCAGAGAGCACAATGCACCAAGATACCATCCAAATAACAGCAATACAATGACACAAATGTCAATGCCGACGCTCTCCTGTCACACCTACATAGTATCCAATGTCACTCTCTTGATTGGTGTGCAGCGCCCAGCCTAGACTACTCAGGCTACCTAGCCTATCTACGTTCATGCAACAGGATCACATCGAAGTTGAAGACCAACGTATGAGATGTCATCGCCAATGCAGACTGCCAGCATACACCAGGTACGTGTCTCACTCCTCCCCTCACCATCCTTGACTTCCCTCTGCATGCACCTTCTACCCTAAGACCACCATCACCATCACGATGCATGTGCCCAGCAGCCCGGCTATGGCCGCCATGCGCCCACTACCACCGCAGCACCCCCTCTCACCTCCAGCACCCATGTGCGCCCTGGCCAGCAGCACTAGCACAGCCGCTTGTGCGTCAATGCAGCGTCGCCACATTGCCTGCACAGGCCAGAATGCTTGGAGCTGGGGTGAGCACTTTCCTTTATGGAAAGTGTGCCCTGCTTCGGCCTCTGCTTAGCCTGCTGGGCTGGGCCCCAGTAGCTTCGCGTTGGGCCAAAGTGGCTGTGCCCAGGCCCACACAGATAGTTGCCTAGAGGCGCAGCTTTGGGACACGGCCAACCACCCCATGCAGCCTGTGAGGTGTTTGCTGTGTTCTCATTGGCTTGCGGCCATTGTGTGGCCTCTCAGCTCCGTTCTCATTGGACTGCGGCCGAGGTGTGATGTGTCGGCCTCTGAATGTGTGTGCCCAGGGCCTAAACCGAATGAGCCCTGGGCTGAACTGTACGACACAGAGGCTGCTTCTGGAAAGAGCCAGGAGGGCTCACATTGTCCTGTAATCAACTTGTGTGCTGCAACTGTCTGATACCCCACACGCAAAAAATGGCAAAAGTAGGCATTACACGAATATGCAGGCTCACCTTCACTTAGGGCGGGCATAAGGCTTGCTGGGGGCCTAGCCCAGAACGTGTGTATGCCCGAGAAGGTCCTTGCGGGGACTCAATCCTCGCATCCCATCCCCCTTAACTTCGAAAGTGCGCTGAGATGGTTCTACGCAGGTGCTTTCCCCTTCAACTTCCATTCATACTCTGCGACGACCTGAGGTGCTGTTTTGACCAGCTCCTCTCATGTGAGCCATCGTTCTTCGTTCGGATCTGTATGATGCCTGAATCTGACTCGGTACTCCCCTGTAGGTTTTGGTGGTCTTCCCCTGCCCACAGGCTTGGGGACAGGCAAATCTCTATGTTCCAAGATGTCATCGTTGTCCACATGGCCATCCATGGTTGGGGCAGCATTGATCTCCTTGATGGGAGCTTGTCTGTCTCAGCGAAAGGTGCAAGCTTGGAAGCCTGAAACACAGGGTAAGTGCACAGGGGACCAAAGATTCTAATCACATAAGAGGGACCATCCGGTTCATCACCCACAGTACCCAACACCTCCCAAGGACCAAAATACTGAGGCATTAGTTTCCTAGAGATGCCGATCTCCTGTCCTAATTCACTGGCCTTTACCCAGACTTGTTCTCCTACCTGAAATGCGGGCTGTCGTCTGTGCCTGTTCTCATAGGCAATCATGACCTCTTGAGATTTTCTGATATGCTCGACAGCCTGCTGCAACAGCTTCTCATACTGGACACCAAATTCAATGGTTCCGGGAGTCGCAGCTGGTCGGTTATCAAGAAGTAGAAAATCTAGTACTGATCGAGGCTTCCAACCCGAGTGCAGCTCATTTGGAGAAACTCCGGTGGTACTATGAACAGCGTTGTTGTACAGGCTGGCAATGAGAGGTAGTGGGCTTGATGTAATGCCTCAGCAAGTGTTGTACCACGCGGTTCATCTGCTCCGCCTGGCCATTGGCTTCGGGATGATTCCCTGAAGTCATTTGCAGTTGGCTGCTCATCTATTCGGCCACTTTCTTCCACATCTCACTTGTGAATCAGATATCTCTATCGCTGACTATGGTCTTGGGCAGTCCGAAATCGCGCATCCAGTTATCCATGTATAACTTAATGACATTCTCAATCTTTGCAGTCTCAGGCATGCCAATTAGTCTAGCGTGCTTTGTAAACCGGTAAACCATGACGAAAATGTGCCTCTTGCCGCTCTTGCTGGTCACAAGGGTATCTATGAAGTTCATGGAAACACTTTGTTCCGGACCTGCAGGAATACGCAAAGGCTTGAGTAACCCAAGCGGTGCTTAAGTTCGCAGCTCGTCCCGCTGGCAGACTTAAAATGTCTGGACGTATCTTTTGCATCGTCAAGCATAGTCGGCCATCACGAACGCTGTACTAAATTAGCACTAGTCTTCTTGTAACCGAAATGCCTTGTCGCATCGTGACATTCTACTAAATAAACTACGCAAAGACTCACTAGACGACACACACAATCTTTTGAACCCTGCCTTTTCAAGAAAGAGCATTCATCCACCATCACAAACTCATCAGATGTGGTTCTCTCGTATGATGCGCATCATGATGGGGTCTTCCCAGTAGGCATCAACCAAGGATCGAGTTACATCATCCCACAAGCCAAACTCAGTTATCATCGCACCTATGTAGTCTGCCCTCTGCGACGACGCATCAACAACCTAAATGTACTTTCCCTTCACATATTCTACTTTGAAGTCTTATTGATCAACAACTTCAATCCAGCGTTTGAGTGCATCGGAAAGAACAGGCTGCGTCTTGATCCACTTGAGTGTCTGATGGTTGGTTCTCAAATAGAAGAACTTCCCCAGTAGATAATGCCTCCAGTGGACAAGAGTTTTGTAAAGGGCGTAGAGTTCTCTTTCATAGGTGGATTTCGCCAACTTCTTTGATGGCATCTTCTTGCTCATGTACTTTATCGGGCTTAAGTTCTTCCCTTCCTGTTAGGCCAGTGCTGCGCCAATGCCATATTGGCTCGCGTCAGTGGTCACGATGAATGGCTTCTCAAGATCAGGAAGCATGGGAATCTTATGATGTGTGAGAGCATACTTCAATCTATTGAATTCTCTCTCACATTCGTCCGTCGATTCCCATGGTGTGTCAATGCGTTGTCGGTGCGAATACCCTTACAAGGGTATCCGCCCTGGTTTTCGCCAGCAACAGAGAATAAGTTTTGTTTAAAAGTTCAAGTTTACCGTGCGGGGCGCAACATCGTATGAGGTTTACGTTGACTGAATGGTTGACTAGAGTAGGGAGTGTTTGGGCGCGCGAGCTTGAGGCGCGCGTGATTTTATTTGTCCATGACTGAAGGACCGGTGTGATCGCCGGTCGGATGTCTATTTTGGTGATTTAGCTAGGATTAAATAGATTTTGTCCCTTGATTGGTGCGTTTGCCTGTGACCTATGCGTACGTACGGAGGACGACGTCAACCACAATATGATTTTGAAAGCATTTCTGTAGATCTACGCGTCTCGCAGTATCCGCTTATTTAAGTGTCTATTAAAATTAGACTCAACCTTGGGCCTTTCACTATTGGTTACAACATCGAACTTTCATCAAAGAGATTCAGGGATCGAGGTCGAGCGGTGACGGCGCGGGGATATCAGAGTAGCGCGAAGGAACCGAGAGGTTGAGGGCCCGACGGGGCTACTCCCCTTGGTTTTTGTCGTCAGGCGGCGTCGGAGCGGTGCTAACACTTTCTTCTTTCCTCGTTCGTCATATTTTGACGATTGAAGGTCTTGAATACCTTTAAAGTTTACTAGCTAAGTGCCCGGGCGGTGCGGGCCACGCCCGCAGAAATAAGAGTACCTGGCTACGAAGTCCAACTTTAATTCATGAATCAAAAGAATAACAAATAGGAAAAAAAAAATGTAAGAGAAAGGGCGAGGAGAGACAAAGATAGAGAAAAAAAAAAAAAGATAGAGATAGATAGATAGATAGATAGATAGATAGATAGATAGATAGAGAGAGAGAGAAAGAGATAGAGAGATATATTAAGAGAGAGAGAGAGAGATAGAGAGAGGGACAACGAAAGAGCAAAGAACAAAAAAAAACGACCACAAGTAAAAAAAAGGAAAAAAAATTGATATTAAGATTTTAGTTTTCATTTAATTAATCAAGTGGCCGCAGTATGATCAAGGCACAATCATTGCGCAGTGCAATCAATATTGACTTAAAAAA